CAACCAACTTCCTCCTGACTGCTTTTCTGTTTTGTGTCTTTGTTTCTTTTGTTTGTTTACCCTCCCTCCCAAATGTAAAGCGTCTTTGGGTTCAAGAAAAGTGCTATAGAAATATAATTTATTATTATTATTATTATTCAATTATTTTTGTCTGTGGACAATTAACACAGGGTTGGCTATTTTATCCCCTCCTTTCCAATTTGTGTGTGAATGAGAGGCCATTACATTGCAAACATTGAGGTAGAAAAGCACTATATAAGTGCAGTCATTATTTATTAAATAACTAAACCACAAAAATGTATATCTCGTTGCTGCAAAGATCTATCAGCAATCTTTTTCCTGAAATATATCCAAGGAATCGCCTTCTTTAGGATAAACTCAATACTAGAAAAAGGCTTCTATCTCTTCTGATTAATCGAAATGGAAAAAAATGATATACCAGAAAAATATCTGATATTCTAGTAGCAAGTGAACTGCCCATATGTCTCAATGACGGGACCAAATAAACACTGAAGCCCGGTCTGCTCTCATTTTCAGATGCCCTGGATGAGTGCTGGAAAGTGTGATGCAACCTGAAAGGAGGCTTTGCATCATAAGGTGTGTGTGCGTGTGTGTGTGTGAAAATAGTAGGCGGTCTCACCATCTGATCAGCGAGCAGCAGGACTGTCTTCAGGCTGAACTTGCGAGAGCAGAAGTTGAAGAGATCCTCCAGACTGGGCCCCAGCAGCTCCATCACCATCACGTTGTAGTCTCCTTCTGCTCCACACCACTTTATGGTTGGAATGCCCACTGCAAAAACATAGAAGTAAACGCAATTACAATGGGAAGAACACAAAAATGTCTGGAGAACACCTCATGGTGATGTATTTCACCAAGCTGAAGGCAAAATAGAGAACAAACAATGAAGAAGATAGCAGGAAAAAAAAGTAGATCAAAGTAATGAGGACGGTGAGGTGGGGCTGATGACATAGAAAGATGGAAATTGAACTCACCTCCTCCTTGCATCATCTTGTAGATCTTGCTCTCGATGTGGAGCTGGGGGTGTTTGGTCTTCACACATTCCAACTTAATGGCCACCTCTTCACCCACTGAAATGTCTGTGCCTGAAAAAGGACAAATGGATTCTCAGTTTACTCGTCTGTAGCCACAATGTTGCATATATAGCTGTGGACACATGCAGCAACTGTCCCTGTAACTCTTCACCACATCTATTAGTTAAGCTGCAACGTTGTGCGCAATCTCTCAATGTGAAATGTCCAAGTGTGCAAGTTGTTTCACAGGAGATTTCTCTAGGACAGGTGTATGGTGCAATTTGTACGACCATCTTAGACAGTTTGCACATCCATTCCGACTGTTTACAAAAGGTGACTGAACCATAAGGTTAAACAGCTGAATAAAGAAAACATTATTATTTTGTGTGAATAACAACTGCTGGGTCCATGTAATTGACCAAACACCAAGTTCTTGTTTCCGCTACAGCATAGTCAGTGAATAAGTCCTGTGTAAATACAGGTTTAGATCAAGAATAGAATCATGTCAACATCTAGAAACCACATTACTGGCTCTGTAACAAGACATAAGTCCAGTCCTTCAACATCTGCTTTCGACATGACAACATCAAAGTCAAGTTTTAATTAGGTAGAAAAGTTTTCTAAGACTGCAAATCTAAAGCTATTTTGACTGAGAGATAAATGATGCCTACTTCAACTGGAAAGACCAGTGCTCCCAGTGTTTATTTAATCACAAACACACACATGACTACTGAGCAGTGTTTCCGCCAGACCTGGGCTGAGGGGGCGTCCACCTCCGAGAGCGGGGGGGGGGTGTTTTGAATTTTGACTTGAGCCGTCCCTTATAGATACTGTCTTTTTACGTAAGTGAACCGGATCATTTGGCTCGGCTCTCTTAAAGCGCCGGCTTTTTCGGCTCCCAAACGGCTATTCATGTTACCACAGTTTGCCACAGTTTACCACGGAGCCTCAGTTTCGCCGCTGTGAGGCTCCGGCGCTCGCAGTTCACGCGCGTGCTCCACTAGCACCCCCCGTCAAGGCTCGGCGGCAGTACACTTCAGGAACACGCTTTGCTGGCGGCGAAAAGAATCCCACCAGACTTCTTTAGCCCTCCAACCGAGGCATGTTCTTGTCCTTTTTCCTTTTCGTCATTTCAAG